GTGTGTGTCTGTGTGTGTCTGTATGTGTGTATGTGCGTGTGTCTGTACGTGTGTATATCTGTATGCGTGTGTGTATGTACATGCATGTGCATATGTGTGTGTGTGTATCTGTGTATGTGTATACATGTCTGTGTGTGTGTGTATACATGTATGTGTGTATATGTGTGTGTCTGTGTGTGTATATATGTGTGTGTGTGTGTGTGTGTGTGTGTGTGTGTGTGTGTACCTTCAATTCATCTTCTGATTTTTGGAGATCCTGATATTTGAAGTGATAACTCTGTTGAGTTTGCAGAATACTCCTCACGCTGTTTAGTAGTTTTCCCTGCAAAGAAAGTAAATATTACTTCATGTGAATTTTAATGTAAGCCATGATTAATTTTTCTTCACTGACTCTCATACAATAGAAACAGCGTTTAGGGATACCCCTCAGGGTTACCAACTCTCCAGAATTGGCCAGAGACTCTATGCTATCTCAATTTAAAAAAAACCTCAAGGGCAATAACAAAAATTGTATAAGATTTTCCCATTTCCATGATCACTTTTCTCTTAATAATATGTAACACGTTATAGGAATAAACAGATGTTTCAAAGATCATTGAGTAGACAATCTTCATTCCACTCAGTTCATTCCAAACGTGAAGGGAAATTAAGATTGATGAAAGAAGACACATTATTTACATGGAATCAAGCCTGTGGTTTACATCTGATTAAGGGAATCTTTTGTCTGTGGAATCCTTCTCCCATTAAGGTCACCATCTGTAAAAGACACCCCTTCCTCCATAGAGGGCGTGTTCAGCTGCTCTGCTCGGTGCCCTCCCTCACCATCACCACCTACTGCTGGAGATTCCATTACAATAAATTGAATGATACATTAATAACAAATTTATTCGGGAATTTAAGACAATCAGGATGGCTAAAGAGGTTTCTTGCTTTCTAATTGGCTGTGGGAAGGCAGAGAATCATGAGGATTGAACAAAAATAGAAGTTGCTGGAAAAGCTCAGCAGGTCTGGCAGCATCTGTGAAGAAAAATCAAGAGTTAATGTTTGGGGTCCAGTGACCCTTCCTCAGAACTGGACTTGAAACGTTAACTCTGATTTTTCTTCACAAATGCTGCCAGACCTGCCGAGCTTTTCCAGCAACTTCTGTTTTTTTTTCCTGATTTACAGCATCCGCAGTTCTTTCGGTCATGAAAATTGATATGCCCTGTGCCCAATGGTGGGAGATTTAGCAGCAGATTTTCATGTGACAAAATCTCCTGGAATGCCCCCAATCAGAGTTGGTAAGCACAACGGGCAGACTAAAACCCAGGAGATTCAGGGCACCAGAACATCACTTGACCCATTATTGACCCATTGTGCCAACTGTTCAACTGACTCATAGAAACACAAAGTTATACAACATGGAAACAGACCCTTCGGGCCAACTTGTCCACACCGACCTAATATCCTAAACTGTTCTAATCCCATTTGCCAGCATTTGCCCTATATCCCTCTAAACACTTCCTAATCATGTGCCTATCCAGATGCCTTCTAAATGTTGTAATCATACCAGCTTCCACCACCTCCTCTGGCAGCTCATTCCATACACACACCACCCTCTGTGTGAAAAAGTTGTCCCTTGTTCCTTTTCAATCTTTCCCCTCTCACTTTAAACCCATGCCCTCATGGTTTGAGGAAAAGACCTTGACTAATCACCCTATCCATGCCCTTCATGGTTTATAAACCTTTGTAAGGTCACATCCCACCCCCTCCCTCCACATCCACCACCCCCCACCAACACTCCAGGAAAACCGGTGTTTTCTCATCCCACTTCCCGACTTTCCTTTTTCACAGACCTATCAAATTCCTTTATGTACTCTCATCAACCACCACCCCCCACACCACCCATCCCATTCTCATTTTGAACACAATGTTAGATTCTGATGCCAGTCTCGGCAATCTCCTCCCAACCCTCGGATATCTTGGCAGCTCTTTCCATTCTGGTGTGCTTCCTTTAAAATCCTCCATTGTGGTGACCACACCTTCAGTTACTGGGCCATAGACTCTGGAATTCCTTCCCTTCATCTCTCCTTCTCACTTTGCCCCTTAAAGACATGCACTAAATTTAACGAAGCATTTGCTTCTACATTTTTGATCTTGGATAATCCAATGGGATTAAGCCACACTTTTCTAAACTCCAGAGTATCTAACATAACTTGTGTGTGGAAATTGGTCAGGTGTCTCTCTAGCCCCAAACATCACATATCTGGATGCATATAAGCTGACCTCTTTCCAGCCAATGCATGCTATACTTTCATTAATGTCAACCCCAATTTTTTTTTCACTTCGCAACTGCCTGTTTTATTCACCAATACCTTACAGCTGGGTCTGTCCCCCCACCCAGCCTCTCCATCGCCTTTGATGGCCTGAATTGCCTTTACTAGCTTTGCATATAAATTAATCAATTGGAGAACACAGGGGTGATTTCCTGGTGGTGGTTAATAGTTGAAAAAAGTATAGGTGATTTGGTGAGGGGGAAAATAAAATCATTCAGTTGTGTGTAAGAACACTTCTGGATATAAAATAAATCCGAGGGATCAAGCAGGCAAATGGGGTGTGTTGCAAAGATACATGGGAGTTACACTCTGCACTAGATTCCAGTGACATTTCAAAATGGCGACAGTTCATTTTTCTATTTGAAATATAAGTCAATCCTCATTTCCAGAGGAGTTTTTCAAAGTGTCAAATATCATCTAAACTCACATCTACAGTACGGTCATTCTACCCAACTTCTCTTCGTAGGACCATCCACTCATCCCAGGAGTCAGTCTAGTGAAACTTCTTTCTATCCCCTCTCAGACAGAGGGATCTGAGTGTCCTAGTGCATGGGACAAAGAGATCTGGGGGTGTAGGGTCATAGTTCCGTGAAAGTGGAGTCGCAGGTAGACAGGATAGTGAAGAAAGCGCTTGGTACGCTTGCCTTTATTGGTCAGTGCATTGATTATAGGAGTTGGGAGGTCACATTGCAGTTGTGCAGGACATTGGTTAGGCCACTTTTGGAATACTGTATACAATTCTTCCAAAGGAAGAATGTTTTTAAACTTGAGAAGGACAGAAAAGTTGTAAAAGGATGTTGCAGGGACTGGAGGGTTTGAGCTACAGGGAGAGGCTGAATAGGCTGGGGCTATTTTCCCTGGAGCATCGTAGGCTAAGTGGTGACCTTATAGAGGTTTATAAAATCATGATGGGCATGGATAGGGTGAATAAACAAGGTCTTTTCCCTAGAAAAACGGAGTCCAAAATTAGAGGACATAGACTTAAAGTGAGAGGGGAAAGATTCAAACAGGACATGAGGGACAACTTTTTCACACAGAGGGTGGTGCGTGTATGGAACAAGCTACAAGAGGAAGTGCTGGAAGCTTGTACAATTATAACACTTAAAAGAAATCTGGATGGGTGTATGAATAGGAAGGGTTTAGAGGGATATGGTCAGATTGAGATATCTGTTTGGTGCAGATGAGTTGGAACAAAGGTCTGTTTCAAACATGGAACATAGAACATAGAACAGTACAGCACAGTACAGGCCCTTCGGCCCACGATGTTGTGCCAACCTATTATCCTACAAAGATCAATCTACCCCACATACCCTACATTTCACTATCCTCCATGTGCCTATCCAAGAGTTGCTTAAAAGTCTCTAAAGTATCTGACCCCACTACCACTGCTGGCAGCGCATTCCACACGCCCGCCACTCTCTGTGTGAAGAACCTACCTCTGACATCTCCCCTACACCTTCCTCCAATCACCTTAAAATTATGCCCCCTTGTTTCAGTGCTGTATGACTCAATGACTCTATCTGAAAAGGTTAGTACGCAGGTACAGCAAGTAATTAGGCAAGCTAGTAGAATGTTATCAGTTATCACAAGGGGAATTGAATGCAAAAGTAAAAGTATGCTTCAGTTATGCAAGATGCTGATGAGACTGCATCTGGAGAAATGTGTACAATATTGGTCACCTTATTAAAGGGAGGATGTATGGGTGAGGGGTCTTAATAGTGTAGATGTGCAAAGGATATTTCCACTTAAGGGAGAATCTAGAACCAGGGATTGCCTATTAAAGCAGAAATGACGAGTTTTTTTGGGATTTTCTCTTCCTCGAAAGGTGGTGGATGCAGAGTCTTCGAGTATTTTTAAAGCAGTGATTGATTGATTCTTGTGAAGTGAGAATATGGAGTAATCATGATCTTAACAAATGGCAGAGTAGGACCCAAGGACTGATGGGTCTATTCCTGCTCTTAACTCATCCATTTATGTGAATGTGGGTTCACCAGCATATCCTTTCTTAGGTAGAGAGTCAAATACCGTACATGGTTCCCCCAGATGTGGCCTCTCCAAAGCCATGTACAGTTACAGCAAGACTTACAATTGTATCCAACCCACTTACAATAAAGACCAACACACCATTTGCCTTCCTAATAATTTGCTGCCCCTTGCATGTCATCTTTCTGTGTTGCCTGTACAATGGCATTCAATCCTCTCTCAACACCAGTTAGAAGTCTCTAACAGAAAACCTTGAGGTTTCTATTCTACCTCCTACCAAAGTGAATTAATCCACATTTCACCACATTATCTTGCACACTCAATTCACCAGTTTCCTTGCAGTCCTTTTGATCTGACTTTTCCCATTGATTTTGGGGGCTACATGTAAATGCAGAGTACAGCAACTCACCAAATCTCCTCAGACAGCGCCTTCCAAACCAGCAACCACCTTCCATCTAGAAGGGTAAGTGTAGCAGCTACATGGGAACACCACCACCTGCAAGTTCCCCTCCAAGCCACTCACCATCCCAACTTGGAAATATATCGCTGTTCCCTCAGTGTCACTGGGTCAAAATCCTGGAATTCCCTCCCTAACAACATTGTGGGTCTACCGACAGCACATGGACTGCAGCGGTTCAAGAAGGCAGCTCACCCCCACCTTCTCAAGGGCAACTAGAGATGGGCAATAAATTTTGGACAGTCAGTGATGCTGATGTCCCATGAAAGAATGAGTTTTTAAAAATAGACGTAGGGCATAAGCAAGAAGGCCTGGTGAGTGTTTGTAGTTACCACATCATTGATGTTCATTAACAGATTATAAACCCCTGGGACAGGTACCAACTTTTGATAGGATGTGAACATCACTGGCAAGGGCAGTATTTGTGGCCAGTCCCATAATTGCTTTGCTATACCCTTTCAGAGGCACCACATTGCTGTGCACCTGGGGAGGTGACAGCCTAATGATATTATCGGTGGACTGTTAATCTAGAAACCAAGGTAATGTTCTGGGGACATGGGTTCAAATCCCACCATGGCAGATGGTGGAATGTGAATTCAACAAAAAACTATAAATCAGAGCCTAATGATGACCAAGGAACAATCGTTGGTTGTTGGAAAAACCCATCTGCTTCATTAATGTCCTTTAGGGAAGGAAACTGCCATCCTTATCTGGTCTGGCCTACATGTGACTCCAGACCCACAGCAACGTGGTTGAATCTTAGGTTAAGGTTGGCAATAAATGCTGGCCTAGCCAGCAACACCCAATTCCTGTGAATGAACAAATTAAGAGTCAAGTGTAGAGCAGACTTGGTAAAGGTGGCAGATTTCCTTCCTTGAAGGTCATCAGTGAATCAGATGGGTTTTAATGACAAGCTTTCAATTCTAAATAATTACACTCACATTTTAACCAGATGCTGTGGTTAAACCCCAGGTCTTTAGTCTGAGTCTCTGGATCATGCGTCCAGTCACATTACCATCATCCATCAACACCTCTGAGCTAATTCATAGATTGGAGTCAAGGGGAGGGGAGGAAGTTGCTGGATTCAAAAGGGTTCTGCTTCTCCCCAGCAACCAAGGCCTGATTTTTGTGTGGAGCCCTGGTTTGCACAGTTACTCCCCACTCTGGTCTTCTTCTCCAGGAGGCTAAGGAAATTCAGCGTGTCTGTAAAGGTTCTCACCAACTTTTATAGAAGCACCACAGAAAGCGTTCTATCTGGATGTATCACGGCCTGGTACAGCAACTGCTCTGCCCAGGAATGTAAGTAACTACAGAAATTGGGAACACAGCCCAGACCCCATCACGCATTGACTCCTTTTATACTTCTCACTGCCTCAGGAAGGCAGCCAACATCATCAAAGACCCCTCCAACTCTGGTTATAATCTCTTCCAATCTCTTCTGCCAAGTAGTTGATCCTGCTTTTTATGCAGATTCTTTGCAGCCATAACTTTGTATTTCTCGCTCTGTTCAATCACCCTATGATCTTCGTATGTTATGATCCGCCTGTACTGCACGGAAAACAAAACTTTTCACTGTACCTAGGTACATGTGACAATAATAAATCAAATCAAATCAAATATTTCGGGAGCACAGAGGGAACATAGTCCGCACAGAGTGGAAATTCCCTCGGGTTTCTCATTCAGTCCCTAGTCGAATAGCAGTGGGCGTGAGAGGGTGTACCTGGAGGTGATGGAGGGTGAGGTGTGGGCTGAGATTTGGCGAGGATGTCGATTTCACAGGGCTGGTGCCGAGCTAGGTCTGGGGAGCAGGAAGGCAGTGGGATGTGCTCTGAACTGGGATGGATGGTGATTGGTGTCTTGGGCTATTGGGGTGAAGGGGGTAGGGAGGGGCAAGGTATGGTGGCTTTGCGAGAATTAGATTTCCCAGTGTGAAGGGTGAGTGTCCCACGTTCCTGCCCTCCAGCTGAGATACAGTGCACTGTCACTCGATAATGATTAACCATCTATAGCTTCCCCAGCTCCCAGTTCTATTACTCTGGGAGTTTTACGGAGCTGTAACTGCGTGGGATCTCATCGAGCAGATGGTCAGAGATTCTGGGATGTTGGACCTGTCTGTCCTCTTGAACCTCCACCACAGAGGGAACAATCGGATATAATGACCATAGAAACAGGAGCGGAATTAGACCATTCAGCCCCTCGAGCTTAGTCTAGCATTGGTGGCTAATGTAACTGTGGATCCAATTCCTCTTACCTGCCTGACTCCATTGGCAACTCTAACTCAGCCTTGGAGAAATGCAATACCCCAGCACCCACAGGGGGCGGGGGGATGAATTCTGCAGACCAAAAACCCTCAATGAGAAAGCATTCTTTCTCACCTCTGTCTTAAATGGCTTATTCTGAAACAGGATCCCTGGGTCCTGACTCATCTTCTCAGTATCTGCCCTGTCGAGAGCCCTCAAAATCTTTGTACAGTACAATCCACAACATCTTCATCATGTCGGCACTAGTTCAAATCCTTCCTCAAATCCCTTCCATTCATTTCACAGAATCTAACAGCTCAGGAGGAGGCCATTCAGCCCGTTGTGTTCATACTAGCTTGTAGTCAGGACGTTCTCATTTGTCCTGCTGTTTTCCCAGTGCCCTTGGCGAAACCTTTGCCTTTACAAGACCCAATCAATTCCTTTTTAAGGTTACATTTCAAATGCCTTCAACTGTGACTTCCAGCATTTTCTAGACCTTCCTAACCCATCGCGCAAAAGGAAAATTCTCTGAATCCTGCCTCTGCTGTTTCACATATTACTTTCAATCTTTGCCCTCTTGTTACTGATCCTCTAATGTGGTAATTGAGGGATGATTGTGCCTCCTTATTGTGACCTGCACCCCAACCCCATGATTTTGTAGATCCCCATTAAATCTCCCTCCATCCCAGTTTCCCAAAGATATCGCAGACCCTTATTCCTCTCACTCACCTTAATCTCAGCCGCTGCCTTTTCCAAGCTGAGCAGGGAGTGGGATTTGTGTTTGCCTGTTATTGTACATGGCCCACACACACACTCTCCATCGTCTTCACAGTAAAACTCCAGAGGCTCCTTGTGTTCACGGCACTGTCTCTCTATAAGATCACTGGGGAGCTGTCCTGCAGGGTCACCTACACCCACCTCCTGAGGGTCTCTTCCAGGTGGGGGGAGCTCGGCTGTGAGGGATGGGACAGCAGCTTTCTCCGGTTGGCTTTCCCCATCCAGCCTGGGCTCCGAGACCAATGGTTTGATACACACTGGGCAGTCCAGTCTGCTCGCAGCTTCTCCCTTGGCCCGGGCATCCTCGATACAGTTTGAGCAAAGGTAATGGCCACAGGGCAATGCATTGGAATCAGGGAATGGGCAGTGGCAGAAGGCACAAGTCGGCAGATCCTCGGTTATGCCTGTGTCCTCCATCCTTAGTGAAACCTCGGAGAGAGGTTTGACACAGTGCAGCGGGGAGAGTATAACCTGCAGCAAGCCTCCTGCAACCCAACTGAATGGGAGGGACTGAACGCTGTTTGTTACAATCTCGAGATTCACTCCGACTGCACATTAACCCTTTGCCAACTGCAGCAGATTAACCAGGCTGCGGTTAAACATCTCAGATGCCAGCAATCCAAATAAAATCCAGAAAGTGCTGGAGACCTGGGGAGAGAGTGAGAGCGAGGGTGAGAGAGAGAAAAAGGGTTAATGATCCAAGTCTCCATCAGAACATGAGGAGAAGTTGGGTTTTACGCTCTGGAGGAAGATGGAGTGGAACAGAAGGCAAGGTGAGGGGAGGGTTAGAGTTTGAAGGAGATTTGAGATCGACGGAACTTTTCCAGGCCTGTCTAAACATGGGATTAGTCCTGGAGGATTGCAAATGTGACACCGTTGTTTAAGAAAGGGGTAAAGAGTAACCCAGGGACGTCAATAGTGGGAAAACTAATGGAGGCTATAATACAGAATAAGATAAATACACACTTAGAGAAAATTAGAAATTAGCTTTTATTGGTCATGTGTACTTTAGTACAGGAATACAGGAGTACAGTGAAACTTGGACAAATTCACCATTTCTGGTGCCATCCTAGGTGCAATCTACCTAGCTACAAAATCTTAGGCAACAAGTAGAAAAATAAAGAAAGTAGTTAAGAGTTCGACATTACAGTTCTTCTCAGTATAAATTAGTAAATAAGAATTTAAAGTTAAAAGTTCCAAATTACAGTCCTTCTTTAGCCATGGGCCTGCACTCACTCCATGTTGGGCATTCCACACGCTGGGCTCAAAATCTCGATCCCCGCGCCTCTGCTTTGCTGTCTGACTGCCGCATCACCCCAGGCCGCCTGAGTCTGACCCCGGGCCCCCACGTGCTCCCGCGATGCCATTGACTGCCAGAGATCACCCAACAATCTCCTTGTGGCCAACCGATCAGGCCCCCCAGCCACTGCCGCTGCCCTCCATGGCCAAGCTCCCTCCAAAACGTAGGTTGAGGAGGAAAACTGAAAAAAAAGGAAAAAACAAACAAAAGAAAAGGAAAGAGAAGTGGCCAGAGCAGACGAGCTCTGGCTCAGTAGACCTACTCCACCGCCATCTTGTCAACCTCAACATAGCATTAAATTAACACCAGATAGTCAACATGGCTTTGTCTGGGTCAGGACATGTCTGACAAATTTAATTGAGTTCTTTGGTAAGGTTAAACAGGCAGTATTTGAGGGTAGTGCTATGGATATTGTATATTTGGACTTTCAGAAAGCATTTGATACGGTACCACATGTCAGGTTAGTTAGCAAATTAGAAATGTTTGGGATTGGTGGGTCCTTGGCAACATCGATGAGAAGTTGGCTGAAAGACAGGAAACAGAGGGTAGGTATAGAAGGGCATTGCTCAGATTGGAAATGAGCTGAAAGTGATGTTCCCCACAGTCAATGCTGCTTTTTCTGATTTATATAAATGATTTGGAGGTGGGTGATGAGGGTAAATTCCCTAAATTTACATATGATACTATGCGAGGGAGAGTAATGGATTGTGAGGATGATGCTGAGTGACTACAGAGGGACATTAACAAGTTAGCCAAAAGGGCCACCTGGCAGATGATTTTCAATGTGGACAAATTTAAGAGATTGCACTTAAGTAGAAGAAACACAGAGAGACAAATACAGGCACAATGGTACAACTTTGAGGGGAGTACAGGAACAGACGGACCTTAGGGTTCAGGTGCATGATTCTCTGAAAGTGGCCACGCAAGTTGGAACAATTGTTAAGAAGGCTTATAGGATCCTTGGGTTTATAGATAGAGACATTGAGCATGAAAGCAAGGAAGTGATGCTACACCTCTACTAATCATTGCTCAGGCCACATTTGGAGAATTGTGTTCAGTTCTGGGAACACTACTTAAGGAGAAACATTAGAGCGCTGGGGAGAGTTCAAAGGAGATTTACTACAATGATACCAGGAAAGAGGGATTTTAGACACAAGGAAAGATTACAGAAATTGGGCTTATTCTACTTGGAGCAGAGAAGATTAAGAGGTGGCCAATGAGGTGCTCAAAATTATGAGCAATTTGGACAGAGTGAAGACAGATATTCTATTTCCATTAGTTGGTACGTCAGTAACTAGGGTTCACGATTTCTAGATTGTCAGCAAGAGAGCCAGGAGTGAGATGAGGAGAAACCTCTGTCCTCAGAGAGTTATTGGGATCTAGAATGCGCTGCCTGGGAGAGTGGTGGAGGCGGATTCCACAGGAGGGTTCTGAAGAGAGCTGGGTATATATCGGAAAGTGACCAAATTAGAGGGCAATGGAGATAGGGCTGGAGAATGGGATTAACTGGGTAGCTCCTTCAGGAGCCAGCACAGGCCTAATGGGTCAAATGGCCTCCTTTTATACTGTAAAATTCCATGATTCTATGCTTACAGAGCAACAGGTAAAAGGGATGGGAATAGTTGTAGAGAATTGACAAAGCATTGATCCAGAGAAGGTGTTAATGGCAGAATAAAGATCAGACCTGACCTGGAAGCAAAAACAATGTAAACAAGGTAATAGGCACTGCAGGGGGTGAGGAAGGGGTAGGGTTAGTGATTGTAATGAGCTCAGCCAGCTGGACATCATGGAAAATGAGTTCCCTGATTGGGTCCGTTAATCCGGCCTAATCAGGGAGCCCTGGCTGATGTAAAAAGGTGAATGTCAGGGATATTAGGACCCTGTGAGAGCCAGTGCTATTGTCCATTTGTAAATAAAGTATGATCGGTGATGGGATGTCAGCCACTGAAAGGTTATTTCAAAAAAGGGAAACAAAGTTGAAAGTCTGAAGTTGGAATCAATATTAAGTACCAGAGGTTGGAAAGGGACCATATGGAAAAAGAACTCTTGTTTCACCAAACCCGCAATCTCACAACATTCTCTCTCCATGGACAGTGGTTCTCTAACATCTCTATAATATCACTTCCACAAGTGTATAACTTTTCAATTCATACATGGGATGTGAGTCTCACTGGCCAGATGAAGCATTTATCATCCATCCTCCTATTGTCAAGCGAAGGGGCTTCCTGGGTCACTTCACAGGACAGTTCAGAGCAAAGGTGGGGGGGTGTCAAATCCATAGAATGGACGCAGTTCAAAAGGAGGCCTTTGAGTCTGTCATGTCTGTACGTCAGCACACTGCAGGAGTATCTCAGCTTTATATCACCCCCACACTCTCAGACAGTACATTCCAGACCCTAACCACTCAAGTGAACCTGCCTCCCCCACACTCTCAGACTGTACATTCCAGACTCTAACCCCTCGAGTGAACCTGCCTCTCCCACACTCTCAGACAGTACA